CCCAGAAATTACTGGAAATAAAGAAGAGTATTGGCCTTAGAGGATGACTTAAATAATAAGGTTAGAAATAAATGATTTGATAATCTCAAAAACTTTTCCAGATACAAAATATGAAATAAGCTTCTGGAGAAGACCAACATGCCAAACTTTGTGGAAAGATATGCCTTAAATATGTCAAGAGCAATAGCCTTAGTCTCTCTCCTTCCATCTAATACATGATAAAATCTTTCAGTCACAGTAGTTAGTAAGTCAGCCGAACAAGAGAATTGAAAACCGTGTTGATTGTCTGACAGTAAGTTATTTGACTCAAGATGGGATGTGAGAAATTTGTTTATCAAGAACTTAAAGACCTTGCTAATAGCAGAAAGAATACTGATTGGGCGATAATTGGAAGGGTCAGAATATTTACCAGATTTTTTGACAATTGGAACAACAGATGCCATTTTCCAGCAGGCAGAAAAACAACACTTAGTCAAGCACTTATTAAATAGTTTAAAGAGAATTGAAGAGAGTTCTGGAGAACATTTTTGTAAGATAAGACTGAAATGATGTCAAATCACAAGCCGTAAAAGAGTTTAACAAAGATATGTAGGCCTTGTTTAAATAAAAAATGCTTAACGCATTAGCTTAACAGTAATTTGATATCATAAAATTCTCTTTATTTTTTTATATTTTAAAGACATTAACTTTTTTAAATTACTGCAATAATATTAATTACCGCAAAACAAGTTAATTGTGATTTAACTGCTTTTTTTATTATTACTATAAAGGAATGTTTATTTATTTATTTATTTTTTTCTTTTTAATTAAATAACTAGATTTAATATTGTATTTTTAAAAATGTTTGATATTAGAAAATTTCTTTCTTTTCTCTACAAATTTTTAAATTTTTAAAATGATTATTTTATAAATTTCTAAATGCAGCTTTGCAACTACAAATGATTTTTTATTTTAAAAAAATTAGTGTGTAACAAATAAAAAAGTTACGTTAATTTATTTACTTTATTTATTAAAAATTTCTTAGTTTATTATTTTAAAATTAAAATTATATCACTGTATATATTGTTTATTATAAAATAATTGCTGCGTTATAAATGAAAAAGTTTAACTTACATTTTGTGCAAATTTTTGATGCAGCCTTAATTTAAAATTTGATTTTAAGTAAAAAAAAAAACTTTAGGAAGGAAAACCGAAAAAACAATTGCGATAAAATAAGCTGATTTTTTTTAAGAACAAATAAAATTTAAATACTGAACAATATTTGGTAATATTTAATAGTTTTGACAGTTAAGTTAAACCCAAGCATTAACTTTAATTTTAATAAACTTAAATAAATTTTTTACATCAAAATTAACTTATACCTTTTTAAAATCTAAATTAAATATATTTTTTTTATCAGATTAAAATTTTATCAGATTAAAATTAAATTATATATTTTTATAAAATTAGTTTTAAATTAAATCATATATTTTTTATCAGAATTAAATTATATTTTTATGATCTTTGCTTCAAGCTTAAAAAATCAATCATTAAAATAAAAAAAAAACATTTTTTTAAAAAAGTTTTTTTCATTATTAAATAGCGCTTATATCAAACATTCAAACTTTTGTAACAAGTATTTTTACATTCAACTTTTTGTAACAAGTATTTTTACATTCAACATTCAACATCAATTACATTCAAACTTTTGTAACAAGTATTTTAAAATTATTTTTATTTTTATGTCATTCAAAAGTTAATGTAACTTTTTAAAAAAAAAAAAATTTTTTTTTTTTTTAATTATTCACCTTCCCAAGGCCCGAGGGGACCACTACAGTCGAGGAGGCTACTTGTTTTTTTTGTTTTTTTGTTTTTTTTTATTTTTGTTGTAAATCGTGGTACAACCCTCTCTCAGCTCTTTAACTCCGAAACACGAACCTTGACAAGCAAGGCCGCTGTGCTGAGAAATTAAGTCAAGCGCAGTATTTCCAGGGACATGGGAGTCGAACTCCGAACCTCTTGCTTACAAAGCGAGCGCTCTTACCACTACACCACTACCGCATTAATTACTCCTTTTATCTTACTGTTTGTAGAATTAATTATTAAATTAATTAATCCTTTTATCAAATTAATTACACCTTTTATCTTACTGCTTGTAAAATTATTTAAAACTTAAAAAATGATAAGTTACTTAACCAAAATCGGTTACTGCTTACGTAAAATCCCTTAAAGCGTACATAAATTGCTTTACGCATAATGCTTTAAAACAAGGCCTAGATATGACTTAAGCAACACATGGAGTGATTTGAATGTCTAACAATCAGTTAACCTGTTTAATCGGAATGAAAGGAAGAGAATGGCCATAAGATTCAAAAGTCAAATTAGAAGAAAAGTTCTTTGCAAATAGTTCTGCCTTAGCTTTGGAAGAGGTAAAAAGATCAGTTCCATGAATGAGAGATAAAATTTTGGGCCTACTTTTGTTAATGACGTTGTTGAAGATTTTCCAAAAGTCTCAGCCGAACTTCTAAGATTAGATACAAGATTTGGCGAGCTGAGAATAATGGATCTTAGCATCTGATAGCATCTTTTTACATCGATTTCTTGCAATAATAAATAGTCGCTTATTCTCAAGAGAGTTGTTCTGTTGAAAAAGATGAAAAAAATGATTACAATTAGAAATATCAGCTGCACAAGAGGGTGAAAACCATGGAGTAGAATGAGGCTTGATTTGGAACCAATAAGAAGGAATAAAAGCTTCTATTATTGCCTGAATCCAGGAGGTTAAGTAGAAGGTACATTTTTTAGCTGAGAGGGAAAAGATATCAGCTCAAGGACCGTCATGGAGAAAATCTTGGAAAGAATCCCAGTCAGCTTTAGGGTAGTAGTAAGTAGTGCTATGATAGGATGAGTCTGAAAAAGAAGTACGAGATAAAAGATTTAAAGAGATCATTGCTTGATCAGAACCATCTAAAGGAGAAAAAGGAGAAATGAATACAAGCTAGGATCAGAAGCCAGACATAAATCAAAGAGTGAAGGTAAATGATTAAAGTTGTCAGAAAAACGAGTCACAAAGTTAACTATCTGAGTAAGAGATTAAGAAATGCATAAGTTATAGGCTATAAATTGTAGGCTTTAGAGCCAGCCAGTTTAGTAGCATTAGAACCATGAGCATTAAATTCACCAATAACAACAATACTGGAAGAAGAGTAAAGAGAGGGCATGGTCAACTTGATCAGAAATTAGATTTAAAAGAGTCCAGTTTCGGGAAGAAGGAGAACGATAAAGAACAAAAAAAAAGGTGATAGAGTGAAGAAGTGCTAAGCGGAAAAACATAAAATAATGATCAAAAGATTCAAACCTGATTTTATGACAAACAGGTAAATTAATGCATATGTATAGCCTCAAGCATGTGATTATTGGAGTCTTTATGAATCAAAGAATAGTACTCATTAACACTAAGATCAGAAGAAGGAATAGTAGAACTTAAAATGATCTCACTAAGTACAAGCAAGTCTGGTGAATTTTGCAAGAGGTAAGATTCAACTGACCATCGCAAACCACGAATATTAGTAAAAAAAATGTTAAAACAGCTGGCTAGTAGTAAACAACCAGGGTTGATATTTGTCCAGGTTTGATAAAATATATCCACAAATCCAGGGCCAGGTTTATGACCAGGATTGCATAAACATTTATACATCCTAAAGTATATTATTTTTATTTGAAATTCATGTTATATTTTGTATATATATATATGCATATATAAACATCATTATGATCAACACGATCATCATAATCATCATTACTATCATCGTCATCATCATTATCATCATCATCATCATCATCATCATCATCATCATCATCCTCATCGTCGTCTCTATTGGCAAATACTATACCATATAAATAATAAAGTTTATATAAATATGAAAGAATATTGTATGCCAGTATCTAAATAAATAGCAAACATATATATTTATATCCATAATATATATGCATAAAGCGCATCTCAGAAGCTTTTATTCCTTCTGGACTAAAGGTTTGGAAACTTTTATTCCTTCTCTTTAATTTTAAATCAAACCTCATTCTACTCCATATTTTTCACCATCTTGAGCAGTTGCTTTATTAATCATTTATTTTATCTTTTTTAAAAGAACATCATTCTTAAGAACAAATGTCCTTTTATTACATGAAGTGTTTTATTACAAGAAGCCAATGTAAAAAGGCCCCGTCTGATGTTAAGCTCTGTTATTCTCAGTTTACTAAATTTTGTATCTTATATCAGATGTATCTTATATCAGATGTTATGTTTTAAAAAATTTTGATTAGTCTTCAAGGGTTACTTTTGGCATATTTTAAATTCAAAGAGAACTTGACTTCATAATTACAGCATGGCCACCTAAGAAATGAGCTATGCAATTTTGGTGCGCATGGCCTCGACAATGCACACCAAAAGCATTAACAGAGACACAACCCATGCGCAACATGGCACTGTTAATACTCTGATATATTGTAGCTGTTGATGGGATCAGCCTCTCTGAGAGCTACCGCAGAGTTAGGGAAACCTTACTACCAGCCGGCTTCAGAACCATTAAACTGAGATTTAGAGTTGTACCTTCATTAGGAGTTAACAGGAAGAGTTACATAGCCACTATCAAAAAGACACAAGCAAAAACCTATGAGAAGAATCAAGAAGATCCAGTTTATCATCCTAGGCAGGAAACATTGTAACACAGGGTTACAGGTTTGAAAAAAAAATAACGGAATACAGATAAAACTGGCAGACTTACACCATCATTATATTATTTTATTATTATATTATTATATTCTGAGATTATGATAATATATTTATGATATTATATTATGCTAACATTATAATATTCTGATATTATAATAATCTGAAATTATAATAATGTGCAAAAACAGAACTTAAAAAACATTGTTATGAATTTTATTTTAAAATAAAATATATTTGAATTTGTAAAAATAATTTATTGAAAACTCTTAAAATATATAAGAATTCTTACGCTTTAACATCTGAAGCTTCATCAACATTACCCCATGTTTTTGACAAAAGTCTATTAGAGGCTTCAGCCAACTGTGGAAAATTACGCTCGATTCTTGGTAACTCACTACCAGTTTCCATATCAGCAGTAAGCTGTTCAGCTCGATGCAAAAGATCAGAAAATGATATATCCATTTCTATTTATGTATTATAAACTAAAAAAAAATTAGTAAATATATTATTTAAATGGTATGAATATCATTTGTAAAAATTTACACTACTTTTACATTTATAATTCAATTAAAGCTGCATATTAAATTTAACAAAACGCTTTATTCACATTTAAATTAGCCAAAGAATTCTGGCATAAAAATTATTTGCTATACCTACTCTAGTAGTGGAGCCCTTACTTTTTAATTATTTTTAATAGTTTTATTATTTACTTAACAATTTTATGTTTTAGATAATTTGCATTGAATAATTTTAAAAATATTATTTCATAAATTAGCTATTCCTAAAAAAAACACAATTGTGTTTAATCATTTATTATATATAACTTCCTAAATTTTTGGAATAATTTATAGATTTTTATGAACAATGAGATTACTAAAAAGTAAAATACTGTGGCTGCAATTACTTAACAACATTACAAATTATTTTTTAAATTAATTAGAATTGTTATCTTTTGAACTTTATCATATGCATTAAATAACATGCAGGTGTAATGTGATTATCAATAATACCAACAATCAATATTATTTTTATCCTATGAAAAATACCTTACAATAAAGAATTTACTTTAGAAAAAAACTGTGGTAAAAATAATCTAATATCTTTTAATATAGTACTATAAAACATTATTGATAAGCTCTACTTTGAAACATTCCAATTTGATTATTTGTAGTTTAATTTTGTAATAAATTATTTAAGTAAAAATCAAATTTTCTCAAGCCATTATTTTTAAACTTTTATTCTATTTATTATTAATCATGGCCAGAAAAAGGTTTAAACATCTCAATGATCATTTAAACTAATTCTTTCATCCTTAACTATCACAATAAATGATACAGCTGTCTTTAAAGATAAGGACAAGATATAACCTTTAATAAAGTATAAATTCAAATTTATCTAATTTAACAAAATATTTATTTGATATTATTTATTATTTAATTGAAATAGAGTTGCATTCAAGTAAGTCAACAGCCTAAAACAGACTGTTAACCTTCTTTCAGACTTTCTTGTTATGAAGATTTTTAATCTAGTTTGTGTAAATAAGATTTCACATTAGAAGAGTATGCTTATAATAAACTCAGACAAAGCAATATAGGGAAACGCAAAATAAAACATTTCTGGTAGACTGTGGGGCAACTACCCATATTGTAACTACTGATGAATACTTCACTTATATTGATGAATATTTTAAACCAGAAGAACACTTTATAGAGTTAGCTGATGGCACCAGGACAAACAATATAGCTAAAAAGAGAGGAACAGTTAAAACCCTTTTACGTACAAAAATTGATGAACTAGTAACTGTCACTCTTGAAAACACTTTATATATCCCAACCTACCCACAATGCATTTTTTCTGTTCAAGCAGCTACGGCTAAAGGCGCCAGAATCAACTTCCATAAATATAGTGCTGAACTTATATCTAAAGAGGGAACTGTGTTTCCTATCCGACAATATGGTCGTTTGTATTATTTTTACAAAAACTCAATAAATGAAACACGAACTGAAAGTTTAGAAATGTGGCACAAAATAATGGGACATTGCAATACCAATGATATTATAAAATTAGAAGATGTAGCTCAAGGAATGAAAATCAACAATATTGCTAAATTTGATTGTGAAACATGTATTCTATCTAAAAATGTTAACACTTGTAACCAACAACCTGACACAAGGGCAACTTACCCATTCCAACTTGTACATACTGATTTAGCCGGACCTATAGAACCTGTAGCTATAGGTGGATTTAAGTATGTTATAAACTTTGTTGATGATTACTCAAGTTGTTTGTTTACATATTTCCTGCAACAAAAAAGTGATGCTGCAAAAGCTGCTGAAAAATTTCTAGCAGATATTGCTCCATATGGGAAGGTTAAAACATTTAGTTTTTATAATGATATTTCCCCATCTGGTAATGTAAAATGTATTCGCAGTGATAACGGAGGTGAATATTTATCAAAAGAATTTAATGAATTACTTCTAAAACATACCATTAAACATGAATTTACATCACCTTATTCCCCACACCAAAATGGAACCGCAGAAAGGAATTGGCGTTCATTATTTGACATGGCAAGAGCCATGATTATTGAATCAAAACTTCCAAAGCATTTATGGACTTATGCAGTTAGCACTGCAACATATATAAGAAATCGATGCTATGTACAACGAATTAAAAGTACACCATATGGATTAGTAACTGGTTTAAAGCCTAACATTTCGAGATTACACTTATTTGGATCAGTATGTTACCCATATGTACATAATACCAAAAAAATTACAACCACGAAGCATTAAAGGTTATTTTGTTGGATATGACAAAGACAGTCCATCATACCTAGTTTATTATCCAGAATCAAATTCAGTTTTAAAACACAGACTTGTAAAATTTACAGAAAAATATGAATCTGTTAGCCAAATAGATACCTACAACACAGATGATTTTATAAATGTTGAACCAAAAACTACAAAATCTACAACTGAGCCATCCACTCCCAATAATAAACAAAATATACCTCAAGAAATTCCCTCATCACGTTACCCTCAAAGACAAAGACAACCCCCAAAATATTTGGAAGATTACATAGTTGATAATAATAATGATGATGAAATTAACTATATAGATTATTGTTATTTGATGAATATACCTACGTCATACACTAATGCTATCAACACCGATGAGTCAGATAAATGGAAAAATGCCATGGATGAAGAAATCCAATCATTAACGAATAATGACACCTTTATTATTACTGAACTCCCAGCAAATAAAAAAGTAGTTGGGGGAAGATGGATCTACACAATTAAAGGGAACAATAATAAAATTATATACAAAGCCAGATATGTTGCAAAGGGGTACAACCAAATTCAAGGAATTGATTATTTAGAAACTTTTTCACCCACAGCTAGAATGGAATCAGTCCGAATTTTAATGCAAATATCTGCCCAATATAACCTCATTTTACATCAAATGGATGTTAAAAGTGCTTATCTACATGCACCTATAGAACATGAAATTTATGTCAACCAACCTCCTGGGTATGAAAAAACCCACAATAACAAACAATTAGTATGGAAATTAAATAAATCACTTTATGGTTTAAAACAAAGTGGTAGAAATTGGCAGAATGTTTTAAGTGACTTTCTCAAGGAAATACAATTTATTCAATCAAATGCTGATAATTGCGTTTTTATTAGAAGAAGCAATACTGAAGTAGCAATGATTCTAGTATGGGTTGATGACATAATTATAGCTGCCAACTCAAACGAACTATTAATTAAAATTAAGAAGAAATTAAGTAAACGATTTAAAATGAAAGATTTGGGACCATTAACTTCATTTCTTGGTATTCAATTCAAATCAACTAGTAATTGTGTCACTATGAATCAATCAGATTACTTGCAGAATGTTCTACAAAAATTCGGTTTTGACAATTGCAAACCAAGATCTACCCCATGTGAGCAAGTTCCTTATTCATACCATAATCAAGAATCTATAAAATCGAATGATTCAGAGATAAAGTTATACCGACAAATGGTTGGAAGTCTTCTTTACGCAATGACATGTACAAGACCAGATTTAAGCTATGTTATTACCAAATTATCTCAGCATCTATCAAAACCAAATAGTGGTGATTGGATTATGATTAAACATGTATTTCGATATATTAAACATACTCTAAACTATTGTTTAACTTTTCGAAAGACTGATGAGTTAAAGCTTTATGCTTTCTGTGATGCAGATTGGGCTTCATCTTTAGAAGATCGACATAGTATATCAGGTTACTGTTTTTCTCTGTGTACAGATGGACCAGTCGTTAGTTGGAAATCAAAGAAACAATCGAGTGTTGCACTGTCCACCTGTGAAGCAGAATATATGTCGATATCTGCAGCTTGCCAAGAAATTAGTTATTTAGCAAAACTATTACGAGAATTATTAGAAGTAAAAATCGAACCAGTAACCCTTAGAAACGATAACCAAGGAGCCATTGCATTAGCGAAAAATCCTATAAAACATATGAAATCTAAACATATAGACATACGTTATCATTTTATACGAGAATATCATCAACAAGGTCGTATACTATTAGAGTATATACAATCAAATGAAAATTATGCTGATATTTTTACTAAACCAGCAAAGAAAGATTCATTACAAAAGTTTAAAGATTTTTTATTTGGACTTTAAAATAATATGTTGTCAAGTTGGGGTGTTAAGTTTTTATGACACCATCTTTAAGTTGTAGTTATATCGGCACCGTATTTTTATGTGCCGTATATTCTTTATGTTTTTAGTTTCAGCCACGAGGCTATGTTTTTATGTATATTTTAAGAATATTTATAAACACTTATATCGACTTTTATTTCCTCCATCATGAGTGAACACAAAATATTAACATTGCACTCTCTCAAAAGAATTATATATATCTTAAATGAGATGAGCAAAAGCTTTATTAAAGCTTTACAACAAATAAAATTTATAGAAATAAAACACTATTTCCAAACAAAGGTTTTACTTTAAACTTTTTTTACCAAGTCACCTTTGCAATACAACTTTGTGTTGCAAAGGTTTACCTTAAAATAAGGTTTTAGATATTCTTATAGCTCTATACCCAGGTTAAATTAATAAAAGTTACCGAAATAAACTTAATAATAATTACTAGATACATAATTAATCAAATCCTGTGATAAAAAAACATTACATTATGTTTTTTAAATCAGATCTTGGTCAAATACATATATTAATAATATATGTATTTGACCATGGTCTGATTTAAAAAACATAATGTAATGTTTTTTTATCACAGGATTTGATTAATTATGTATCTAGTAATTATATTAATAATATTATTATATCTTTATTTTATATCCTAACAAGTCATATTATATACATATATTATATCCTTACAAGTCATATTCCTTAAATTATAATTTTTTATTTTATTTATTTCAAATTTATTTCAAATAAATAAATAAAATAAAAATTATA